AAGACCCAAAAGTAGAAACAAAATGGGGTGATCAAAAAGTGCTTCTGTTTTGACTTCTCAGATAGAGTGAACTTTGTTAAGCTAGTTAATTTTGATTCAACTTTCCAATTTTTAATTCAATTACGTACGCGCCACGCTCAAAAAAAAATCATCGAAACTCATTTGTTTTTCAAAAATCAATTAACCATTGATATGATTAAGTTAGGAACAAACAATCAAATTAGTTTGAAACCTAAATTAGTGGAAAAATAACTTTTTTGAAAAAAGCATGATATTCAAGGATTAGTTTTTATCATGCGGGTCAATTATAACCATCAGCACGATACTATAAAATCAGCATGATATTATAAAATCAGCACGTATCTTTTATTCGCAAAAAAAAACAGACAGCAAAAAATAAACAGAAAGTCTGAGAACAGAAAACAGATTTTCAAAGTCTGAGATGATACATACATAGTTTGAGTTTTGTTTTGAAGCGATCCGAAGTCTCAGATATTTGGTAGTTGAAATTCTAAAGTTTCACTCTTAATTTTTGAGGCATGCCTGAGTAAAAATCCTCCACAACAGCCAACGGTTTATCTCTACAGGTCTGTCACAAGGAAGTAAAATTGCAAATCGTACTTCTTAGTAAAATTAAACTTGGTAGTATGAAATTCTATGAGGGTATCGAAAGCTTCTATGTTTCCCTCGAACGCCTTGCATCCAAAGGTAGCAGCGGGCGTTTGATAGATATGAATTAATAAGGTTTCGTATCTGTGTTATATGTTTAGATCCTACACAAAATGAGATCTATTGAAACCACGAGTATCGATGCAATTCACAGCAGAAGAAACATAACTTTCTTTTGTGATTCGGTTTTTGGCCAAGCAACCAGCTCTACCTCTTTGCTTAAATTGCTCGTCTTTTAGTGAAGGAAACCTTTTCAAATTAAATTTTTTCAGGCAAAATTCCACCAATTTGTTTATTTTTTTGGCAAGTCCATAGACAGAACATTTAACAAAAACTTCCGGTGACTTAAAAACTTCCATTTGACAAAAACCTCTAACAACCTCAAAACCGCGCTGCCGGATAACCGAAATGATCTAACAATTGTGCTATTTTTACTCAGATAAAACTCGATCTGAAAATAGTCGTGTTTGATCCCAAGTCATGAAATTTTTGACAGCCAACTATTGTATTTGAGTGAATTATAACAGCACGTCTAGTTTATAACAGCAAGTCTCAGATATTTGGTAGTTGAAATTCTAAAGTTTCACTCTTAATTTTTGAGGCATGCCTGAGTAAAAATCCTCCACAACAGCCAACGGTTTATCTCTACAGGTCTGTCACAAGGAAGTAAAATTGCAAATCGTACTTCTTAGTAAAATTAAACTTGGTAGTATGAAATTCTATGAGGGTATCGAAAGCTTCTATGTTTCCCTCGAACGCCTTGCATCCAAAGGTAGCAGCGGGCGTTTGATAGATATGAATTAATAAGGTTTCGTATCTGTGTTATATGTTTAGATCCTACACAAAATGAGATCTATTGAAACCACGAGTATCGATGCAATTCACAGCAGAAGAAACATAACTTTCTTTTGTGATTCGGTTTTTGGCCAAGCAACCAGCTCTACCTCTTTGCTTAAATTGCTCGTCTTTTAGTGAAGGAAACCTTTTCAAATTAAATTTTTTCAGGCAAAATTCCACCAATTTGTTTATTTTTTTGGCAAGTCCATAGACAGAACATTTAACAAAAACTTCCGGTGACTTAAAAACTTCCATTTGACAAAAACCTCTAACAACCTCAAAACCGCGCTGCCGGATAACCGAAATGATCTAACAATTGTGCTATTTTTACTCAGATAAAACTCGATCTGAAAATAGTCGTGTTTGATCCCAAGTCATGAAATTTTTGACAGCCAACTATTGTATTTGAGTGAATTATAACAGCACGTCTAGTTTTTTTGGTAGTCAATAAACAACTATTCTGTATTCAGAAGAGGAGAACTCGCTGAATGGAAATGGTCAATGAGAGGCGTAAACTTGAGGAAAAGTGCCAAAATCTTTATTTTTAGAAAATATCAATAAAAACGAAAACATCATTCGAGAACGTCGAAATTGTTCGCGGAAAGACAGTGTGCGAGGACAAACTCTCACTTGACCTCTAGCTTCAGGTCTACAACAGCCCGACAGACTACGGCTGCAATAATGGCTCCACGTGAAGTATCTAGATGCAAAACAACGGCCTTGAGCCCCCAGCAAAAATAGTTTTGCTCAATAAAAAACCATAGTCTGAAATGTGAGGAGATAATACAAATGGACTATCCTTCTAAAGGATTCTTAAGTCCTACTGATATGATAGCTCCTCTGCGATTCGCAGGAACCTCATTAAAAAAAATTAGAAACTACTAGTATATGTTAGAATAAAAAGTAACATAAAAAAGGAAGCAGAAACTCGATGAGAAAAGGCTATGGATTTTCGGTTTTCTTATCTGATGGAAGACGTAGGCTGATCATAAGCTGACTTCTCAAAATTCAAAATTAAAATATGTATTGAGACGCAGAGAAGTTCAGAAGTTCTGTTATTAATTGGAAAGTTGTTTTTTTTCCAATTTCTGGGTATGGCTTCAAAATTTCAAATCTTTCCACAAAGTTCAATTTTTATCTCATTTTTCAATTTTGGTTTGTTTAAAAAAAATTGACGGCAAGAGAAAGGGTTTTGTTTGACTAATATTCTTTCTCCAAAGAATAAATTGAAGTTTTGTTTCCGACTTAGTGCTATTTAAAAAACTATCTTTTGCTTTGTTTTGAGCTACTAAGTTCGCCGTATGTTTAAATATTTATTGTCAAGTCCTGACTCATTCGCGTTTGAATCCCTCTGCATTTTGATTTTGAGCAGTTGTAACTTTGTACGAATTTTTGTACGAATTTTTCTGAGTCTTAGGATGCGAGAGTTTTTTCAGTTTCGCCTCGTAGGACTTTTTTCTATGAAAAAACGTTTTGCCACAAAACAAGTGTTCTGCCAAGTTCTCTAACTTTAGAAATTATCAATTAAAGGAACATTTTATTAGACAAAGTCGAATTTGTTTTCGGAAAGACAGTCAGCAAAAACAGAGTAACGACTCCCGTGTTTAGAAATTTAGAAATAATTAGTACATGTTAGTTTTGAAAAAGTAACATCAAAAAGGTGGCACAGAGATCATTCAGTGAAAGAGTTATATATATATATATATATATATATATATATATATATATATATATATATATATATATATATATAATTTTCTATTTTCTACAAATGATACAGAAATTTGAAATTTTTAGTCGTTCATTATTTTCTTGATAAGATCTAAACTCAAGTTATGTGCTAAGTTGAGATATAATTAGTTTCAACAAAATTTTTTTTATATATCAGTAGACATTTCAACTATTTAAGTTCTCGTGTAAATTGGTCACATTCAATTTTTTTTCGCCAGTTTAGTCCGCTTCTACTTATCTATAGGCGCTTCTACAATAATATTTGAAATGCTCAACGTATAAAGTCGAAACTTACGAGCGAAACATGTTAATTTGGAACTTAAACTAAAATCCAAATTTTTTTTTATTAATTATGTAATGTTTCCTAAATTGAGAAATAAAAAAAAACCTTATCGTTTTGAAATTTAGTTTTATTGGCTTATGAATTTTTGGCGCTCGCTCTTAGCTCCAAATCAAATATTTATTGGCGCTGCTTTGAGAATAATTTTGCTTTTAAAAAAACGCTTCAAAACGAGAGAAAAAATAAACTGTCTCGCTTTAGGCTGACACTCTCGTTTTAAACGTCTCGCTTTAGGCATTCTTTTCATATTTTTTTGATTGAAGCTTGGGTAGTTTTTGGATAGAAATTTTGGCCAAGAATAATTTGAAAAAAAAATTATTGACTTTGGAAACGCCTACCAAAAAAAATAATAAAAAAGAAGTACAAGAAAACTGAAAATTTTTTTAAAAAAAAGCAAACAGAACTATGAGAGATGCCGCTAAAAAGACATGACTAGTAAAACATTGAAAATCCTGCCGCAAAAAGTTCAAAGAACAAAATATTGATAAAATGATAACACAAATGAAAAAATATATTGATGAAGAGAGAAAAAATTTTACTTGCGTTTTCAAAGATAATCTATTGTCAATTTGTCAACAAAAGCTTGCAGTCTCGGTGGAAATAGCTCAATAAACGCAGCAATTTTTCTTATCAAAGCCTTCCAAAAAAGGCCCAAAACGTCCTTTTAATCTAATTTGTTGCGGCGCAAAAAGATATTACAAAATGTTATCTTGTCGATAATGTTTTATGTGAGAAGTCGGAAAATCAATTTGATCGACATAAAACAAAGCAAAATATGTGTATTTTCTTTTAAAAGTTTACCCCCTGACATGAAAATTCTAGATCCGCGCCTGCATGTACGCAAAATATATTAGTTTTTTTTCCATTCAATGAAACTTTTCATAGTTTAAAAATGAAATTAACGTTCTAATAAATGTTTTACATAATTCAAAAATCAGAATACACAGAAAACGTCTTTCCGAAAAAAAAGCAGTCAAAAGCTTCTGGTAAAAAATCGAAGCGCTAGTTAAGTTGACAAAAACGTTTAAAAAAATTAGCATGAAACATGAAACAACTACAATGTATAACAGAGTCAATCGGAAGATGAAAATATACCTGGGAAGAATGAAGATACAAAAAAACTTCTAGCATTTTTGCTTTTTTACTAAAAATTTGAGTCATTGTTCGTCAAATAATGCTCACGTTGTAGCCACTTTAGTCAAAACTCGGAAAATTAAACACATTTGCACATTTGCGAGTTTTTTTCACGTTTTTTTTTTTCGATTTTCTTCTGTCACGTTTGTTTTTCCTTACTTATTTAAACCCCACAAGATAAAGTTAGTAAAATTATTTATATGAAATATTCAAGAATCTGTAAATTATCGAAAACTAACTGATGATGATTATAATAAAATGAAGTCTTAAAAGTGATTTAAACATTTACCTGATTTGAGTCCAGATTCCAGTATTGCAGCTCCGTCTCGAACAGTGGACCGCATACATCATTTGGGTAATGCAATTTACCCGTCCGGTAATAATTCAAGATCTGGGCGAACACCCCCGGGTGTCTATCAAAGAAAAACTCTCCGGCAACTGCGTCGTAATTTTTGGCTTCTTCTGTCAACTTAGAAAGCCGAGTGGCCGGAATTTTTTTCAGAGTTGTTTTGAAGGTTTCATGTCGAATGCCGCCGACGTTTAAAACTATCTTGTTGTCGCGATGGTGATCTTCAGATTTTAGTTTCAACTCTTTCGCAATATTCTGCATTTTTTTTCAAAAAATCAATAATTGCAGGAAATTCTTAGATCAAAACATCCTAAATTCAGTTGTGACCATTTCAGCTCAACGCGTTTCTGCATGTTCTGTGAGTAAAATCGACAAGTAGAAAAGTATAAAAAGGATTAATTTTGTGGAACTGAGACAAATTAAATTCAGAAAATGGATCGGGTCTGTTTGGGTTAAGGGGAGTCAATTTCGCCGCGGTAATAACTTTTTTCAATCCATCTATTCAACTGCTTTTCAGTACTCTTTTTTTTCTGAAGACTGCAAAATGTTGAAATGAAGTCGAGATTAACAGTTGGCTTTTATATTCCATTTGCGATGGGGAAACTTTGTTTTTGGCGTAATTGGCAGTAAATGCAAATGTAGGGATATAAATTAGGGGTACTGCCTTCGATCTGATTAAATAATGGGAGGGACCAAATGTTAAATATGAGGCTAATTGAGCGAAATCACAGGGCTTTATGATATGAATAAAAATACTGGGCGGTAATCGCCACACAAACTGAAAAAAAAAGAGAACTATTGCTAGATATTCTCTAGTTCTCGTTGCGAGTTATTTACTACATAACCATCACAATTATTAATACTTTTTTCTTTTTTTTTCACCAATGATGCGTATATGTTGATGGTAAAATTGGAATTAGATCAACTGCAATTGCAATTTTTATCCCAAGGAGAAAAAGTAAAAGTAAAATAACATGTGGGAAATAATTGGAAAATGAGCTCCTCCAATCGGAGCATTTTGAGGGACAACTTGGTTGAAACAAGAAGGAAGGGCGTACAAAATAAAGATATTACGGACCAACTATACCAACACTACAATAACACTCCGCGTTCCAAGATCGGCGCCTGAAATAAAAATCGTATTCTTTTTATTATTATGTTTGTTTAATATTGTCTTATAATAATAATGAAAGGAAAAGTAGTATCAAATTGAACCAACTATTGGAAAATTTCAACACCGAAACAAAAACAGAGCAAGGCTGAAAAAAAAACGCAAAAAATCACGTTACATTTTTGGGGCCATCTTTGTTTTCAGAAGTATCATTTTCATACCAGGAAGTGGAGTTTTTCCAATAGCAGAAACCATAAAAAGCGAATGCAAAATATCGACAAGTTTATGACATTTTAGCCGGTAATTCAACGTTTCAGCGCCGAAACAATCTTTTGTGTATCTTAGAAGAAATGTGCCACAGACACGTCCGCGGAATAAATCTGAAATAAGAATCTGCAGCTTATAATAAGTGAGGCGAACATTGTGTTTGAGCGTCGCACTAAGCCTCGCATAGTACCAGAAGGTTTATTTTTATGCATTTTTTCTTCACTATCAACGTTTTTTTTTGGTTTAATTGTGTTTTGTCAATGCGATTTAACACCGCTTTTGCAGCGCGTTATTTTCCTTCACTTATACTTACTTGATTTGCGCATCATCGGTTTCAGGTGATTTTTACGCTCAATTTCTTCCAAGTTTGTCATAAAAGTCTAATGTTCCCATCGCTTCCTGAAACCAGCCAGTTTTAGATAATGGATTTGAGGGACTGGTGGGGAGGGGGTAATTGTTGAAAACCGAAGAAAAAGAAAATTTAGTATAATATGTGAACAAGCTTAAATTGCTTAGCTCACATACAGGAAGAGAAGATATCATAAAATAAAAAAGTGAATTTGATTGAACACCAAAATCCATGCTTGTTTATTCGCTTTTGTATAGCACAAGATTCTTCGGCGCCTAAAAAGAAGTTTAGTTTTTTGACTGTCTGCCTGAGCAAACCTTTTCAGATATTAGCAAGTTTTATTTTCTTCAGTTCGACATAAAAAAAATGCAAAATTCTTACAAGAAAGTCATGTAGTTCGGAATGAAAAAAACCATAAGCAAAATTCTTGCAAGGTTTTTGTAGTTATCTGTATTTTTTCAGCTTTTCCGTTGCGTAACTATTATAAAAGTCTAAATATCGAACAATGTTTTCTTCTTGAAAAATCTAAAACTGAATCTTATTCGTCGTCGTAATGTTCGTCCTTGCCAGGAAGTCTATGATTGTCCCGAACTCTTTAAATACCTAACAAAAAGACCAAAGCTTGTTGGCTAGGTTATGCGGGTTCCTATTATTGACTGAATATCTGCGCGGTGAACTATAAAAAATCGCATAAAATTACTTTCAAAGTTAGTCTCTAATTACCTCAAGGTTGTTTTGCACTGTTGTTGTAAACCTTTCATTTTAAATGAAATTTTGGATAGTCATGCGCAAGTAAAATTACTGTATGAATCTCAGAAAAACAAAGAAGATGAAATAGAGTAATCTGTGCCAATGCCCTAAAATATAAAGCAAAATCTTGAATGAAACAAAAATGAGCGCCATGATCTTAAACAGAGTTTCTTCAAAAAAATCTTGGAAGATGTTGCTAACCAAGAATACTAAAACTTGTCTCGAGTATTTTACTTGTTAAAAATATATTTTTAAAAATAATATCGTATATGGTCATAACATTGTTCGCTGATTTGCCAAACACCTGTCATTAATAATCACAGAAGACCATAAGGCAGAAATCTCAGACCTTTATGCACTCACATCGAGAAAAATCTATGAAAACTTATGATGCAACATGACTTGATTACCGCGAGATCCCTTGCATGAATTATCAATCGACCTTATCTGGCGTTGATTTATGGTGTCTGATTCAGCGTGGAAAAAAAACTCCCATGCATTTGATGACTGGACACAAAAAAGGCGTATTTTTCATGCTAGCCTCAAGTTTCTAGTCAGAAGTAAAACTGAAACGAAATCAGTTTTTCAGACTTGAACTTTAATAATAAAATATAAGCGTTTACTTTTCTGTTCGTTCAGTGTTGAAAGGGAGATAGCTCAAAATTGGAAAAAGAAAAATCAAAAATTGCCAATTTGTTTTCATAAAAGCCGGTTTTTGCATTCGAAATTGCAGATTTGTCATTTGAACGACTAGACTTTCCGAATTATTGGATAAATTCGGTTTTAAGATAAAATACGCCATGAAATCTTTTTATTCGACGGTGTTTTTTCTTTTCAGGTTATGGTAATTTTTCGTAAGAAAAAATGTATTAAATTTTTTGAACCTGAAAAACATTGGTCCCGAGAACTCAAAATGTCAATCAATTTTTTTCCTCGTAAATTTGGGAGAAAATAGAAATTGCCAATTTGATCAACTTGGAGTAATCATTGAAGGCTGTTCTTAGTCTTCTATTAACGCGTAGGTGTCAAACTAGTCCTCACTAAAAATCATTCCATATTGAATTAAAGCAAGAAAAAGTTCAAAAAGGATTCAGACTAGTTTTTAAAATAACTTTTTTTGAAATTTTTCAAAAAAAAACTGAAAAAACTAATTTGGTTCAAATTAAAACATTAAAATATCGTAAGCTTCTTAAAGGGGGATGCGCTTGGACACTGTGAATGAGATTTCACCCACAGAAGGCATGAATCAGTACGGGAATTCGAAGCGCAGTTGGTAACATACTTACAAAATGACCCCAAGGTTGGAGATAACTCCCGCTGATGTAATTAGGCAGACTTGTAAAGAAGGCCCAATTTAGGGATCCTTTCTGAAGTTAAATTGAATTTCGAATTGAAAACACGCATTCTTGTTGAAAACACAATTTCTTCCTGAAAGCAGAATTTCTTTATTTTTGGATTTGGTCCATTTTGTCTGAGTTTTTCTAGGTGAGATTAGAATGTAATTTAAATGACATTTGACGTGTTTTGGTTAATAAAAGTGTCTTTTCATTTTGAAGACAATGAGTGGATTTTGAAATATAGTCTGAAAGGTGAAATCTTCATTCTAATTTGAATGCAAGGGCGAATATGCAGAAAATAATAAAAGCAGACTGGCTTTCGCGTTTTTTTCTTCAATGTCAATTTCTGTTTTTTTTTTCAAAAAACCATGCTTTATTTTGAGTATAAGCAAGGTCGATATTTAAAAACTAAATTCTGAAAAATTTGTGATTATTAATAAGACTGTGTCCACATAGTTTTGACAAAATGGAAATTGCATCAAATTTCGAGAAATTTTACAAAACTTTGATTGATTAATAGCTGGTTTATCTGGCTTGAAATCTCTCTGTTTCTGCTCTAGTTTTACAGTTTTCTTAAGTTTGATCTTAAACCTTAAATATGTTATTTAACCCAAAATAGTAATCTGGGTACAATTTGGGGTTGAAACCTTCGCCGTGTTTCCTAGCAATCTCAGGTTGATACTCAATATAGTAATAATTTTTACATAACAAGATATTTAATAGACAACGGGTGAGTTTAATGAACCGCCTCCCACCGTTTCGAGGCAAATTTCGATAAATATTTATTTTTGTTAGGCACCAAATAGTAAATAATACTCCCAATTTTTCTTTTCAGCTAAGTTAGACGAGAATTTGTAATTTTCTTTGGAAAAGTCAATTTAGCATTTTTCGAACTTGGGGCCATTTGAATTTTTTTTTGGAAAACGTTGCCTCTAAGAACAATTTTATTTTCAACGGTTGTCAGATGTGTTTTTTATTCTTTTTTGTTACTAAGAACAAAACTTCTAATACCTTAGAAACAGGAAACAAGTTCTTAAGAAACTAAAAACTGCTCACAAGAGTCAATCAAAAAATTATATACCACAATCTAAAACAAAGTTGAGGTATAGTTAAACTAACCTTTGTCTGCTGATACACCAATCTGTTCTTTGCACTGGTTGCAAACGGGTAATGGCAGAATGAAAGTATGGGAAGATTAAAACAGGAGAACTCGATTAAATCTTGCCGACTGTTTTCTACAAATCCCCAAAATGTCAATCCGGCGGTACTGTTCGACTGAAAGTGTATTAAAGTCATTTTCATTTTCTCAATTTAATTTACCCGTTCGTTTTTCAACGCTATAGCCCAACCCCTTCTACCTTTTAACCGCGAACCGTGAAAAAAGACAGCAAAATAAAACAGGCTGCTGGAAAGATGCAAGAAAAGAAAAGTACAGCTTTAATTTAATGCCTTTAAAATTGTACTTTCCGACTATATAAAAAGAAGGCAACTTTCTAATGGTTTTCACTGTAAAACTGAAGGCGTAATATTACAAGTGGCCAAAAAAAAGTCACACGATTCAAATTTGATTTTAACTTGGAAGGTGATGATGGAAATAAAGCATATTCAATAGTCTGGGCTCAATCAAAACTTCTCTTTCTATCGGTCTGATATTGATTAATTCGAAAATTGTTTTACAAGAAACCAATGGCTTGTTCTGCGGAGGGGTATGAACGGGGCCTATTACATTACTTTCATTGTTCTTAGATGAAATGCCTAATGAATCCAAAACTTACCGGCATTTTCTATGAAAAGACAATGAGTTTTTGAAGAAGATTTAAGTTGGCTGTTTCTTCACATAGTATGTTTAAACAAAGAGTCGAAAATTGGGACATTACCACAGTGCCGAAGTGTATTAGTGCCGAAACGTAAAATTGAATACTGTTTTGACTGTTCCCAAATGGTGGCGTTATCCTCATGATCGAGGGACCGAATGTTGGAAATATATTTTCTTTTTATTTCAGCCAATCAGAATTAAGTCTTCAAAAACCTAAATGAAAACGCAAAAATCTCAAATAAAACGAATCAAAACAGGCCAAAAAAATTAACTTTGACCAATCAGAAAATAAGCGGAAACATAATTTTTTAAAACTTGCGAAATTGAAGTCGAGCATTGGAAAAAAAACCTCAAATCAATTTGAAAAAAAAAAAATGAAAACGAAGCAATTTTTTCTGTTATATTTGCACGACTTGTACAGTAAATCTTTGCTTTGCTGCTATAATTCGTTTTCTGTTGACAAAGACTTTGGTTATTAGTAAAAATCATGCAGCCAATAGAAACGTCTAGCGATTCTGATTGGATAAAAACTTTCCATCATTCGGTCCCTCGATTGAAAATTTTATTTGATGTCGTTTGTTAAACAGACATAAGTTCACCAAGCGGGATCAAAAATTTTTATGAACAAACAATTAGAGCAAATTGAACACATATTCAGATTAGACACTGCTGTAATTCGGCACTGTCGAACGGCCCCGAAAACTTATTATCGATATAACCGGTCGTGGCTTGTCTTCAAAAAAGTCTGATTATTTCCATCCGACTTGAAGCTTTTCGAATGAAATTGCTGCCCGTTTTAACACAACTAACACAATTAACAATTGACTGCGCCAGTAGCACAGTTAGCATTTCATTAAAAGTTCTTGAAAATGGATAAGATGAAAATTATGAGGAAAATTGTTTTTTAACACATTTTTTTAATTCAAGAACTTAATTTTTTTTTCAAACTTATTTTAATTCAAGGAAAAAACGTAATGCACAGTTTATAGTTTCTCTACTTTCAATTATTTTTACGACGAAATAGTCAAAAAAGCAAAAACAGAAAAACTTTGTTGAAAGACAGGAATGATCTTATTTTTTTCTATTTCGTTAACAAATGTACCAAGCGCAGTCTCTAAAATCAATTTGACTGGCAGATTTTAAAAATCTGCTTTAGAATTAAATTGCAAATAAAAAACATATAAACTAAGACGTAATATACTGTGATAATATTTTTGCCTAATTTTGTTCTCTATAAACTCTATCGAATTCGGTCTATATCTTAACTAATCTGTTACTTCTCTCAGATTTGATTTCAACTTCGAAACGAGTGAATGAATAGTTAAGTTGGTTAGAAAGAAATGAAAAACGGTTCGTCCATACAATTAGTAGAAGTTTTCAACATTTTTTAAACCTACCTTAGAATAGAAAATAGTTTTTATCTGAAGGACTAAACACGATTATGTTGGGCGAGCAGCTCCAAGACTACAACTCAAACCACTTATTGATACCTAGTGGTCCAACACACAGTAGTACCTAGTGGTCACATTTGTTTAAACTAAAATTAGTACTTGCAGATTATTAATTCTCTCTAATCCAAACCCTCATTCGTTTGAAACCCTCTGCCTCAAAAAATTTCAGTTAAATTTTTTATATAAAGGGAAAATACTAAAATGAGTGAAAAGTTATAAAGGTTTAGAATGAAGATGATTATAATGTACTTTTTGTGGTAAATAGTAAATTTTTTTGTAGTTTTTAGTAAATATGTAGTTAATTAACAGTTTCAAGGGTCCTCAGTTGAGCCTCAAAGGAGTAATTATATTGATTGTCGGTTGTTTTAGATGGTTGTAAAAATTTCATATTGGCTACTTGACACATCAAAGGCTTTGCTCGAATATAAGGCTTTCGTTATTTTGTGTATTGTACCAGTTTTCCCTTGTATTTTGATCTACCCGCACTCAGTAAAAAGAGAAAATAATCAATTATTTTACAGTTATAATTGTACTCTTATCAAAATTATAATTAGTTATAGGTGACAAATTTAGATATTTAAACGATTTATAATCCATTATAATGATAACTTTTTTTGTAACATTATAATAAATTATATTCAATTGTAATTGAATATGTTTTTTCCGCAAATCTCTTTCTTTTATAATCCATTATAATATCCTATTTACTTTCAAAATTTTCTAAAAACGAGATATGAGGCTTGTAACTCTTTGGTTCATCTGAGCAAAAAAATTTACCAGGAAACAAAAGTTTCATAGACATCCCTTCATATTAATTGAAAGAATACCGCGGTTGGTGAAATATAATTCTTCTATTTAAATCATGAAACAAAAGCAGTGTGCTAAATTTTGGCGGTCAAAAAAACCTAAAATGTACATCATCAAACAAAACAATCAAGAAGAAATGAAAAAACAAAAACGTTATAAATTTAAATTGATGTAAAATTTTCCCAATTTTTCACATAAAGCAACGTCTACAAAAAGCATGAAAAATAAGCAATTTATGTGCAAGGTCGAAGACAAAATGGGCAAAAAAATGGGATTATAAACAAAATATAATCGATTATAATGGATTTTTTTTCGGCAAAACAAATGAATTAGAAACTCGGATAAAAATAATTGATTATAATCGATTGTAATGTATTATAATTAATTATATTTGATTTCAAAAACAGAGATTTTTTCTCAATGTTTTGTAAAAATGGTACTTAAATTATTTTTTAATCGATTAATAACGTTTAAAACTGGATTCAGGTAGATTTTTTGTCAAAACACCGTCTGAGAAAAAACACCGTCTTTTGTTTGCTACTTTTGGAAAAATTGATTGTTCTATATTAGTGGCTATCATTTTTCCATCATTTGATTTACCTGGGATGGTCCATATATAAACAAAAAAAAGTTCTATAAACAAAGCAATTTTTTGGCAAGTCTACAATTTATCTTAAGAGCAGCACTCTTTTCACAATTACGCTCTACCAAATATACGATTACAATCACAATTACGAAATATAAGGTATAAGGTCAAACGGGTTTTTTAAAAGTCTGTAAAGACTAAGGCTCAAATAATTTCTTTTTTTAAACTAAAAAATTTATTGCAAAAGTTTTATTGCAAAATTTAATTGCAAAAACTTCATAAAACATATCAATTTTGAGACACTTTTTGGCTTACTGTGATTCACTTAATGATTTCGAAATTTTTTTGCTTATAATATTTTTCTTGAGATGTCAGGAAAAGCGGAATTTTAATCTTCAGTCCAGTTTGTTGCCAGATTCCTAAGCTGCATCACAAGTAGTTGGAATCCAAGGTATTTATGTGACGTTTTAATTCTTAATTAATAGATAATTTGGAGCAGTTTTGTTGAGATGAATATATACGAGTTGAGGTGACGCAACCGAGTTTTAATCTGATGTTTGTAGAAAAAAACAAATGACCACAAAAACTTCAGACTGTACTTGAAACTTTCTGTTCCTTTTTTTGTATAATATAAGATTAATGCTGCAATGAGTTGTTCTTCAGAAAACCCTGACGAGAAAATTATCTGATTTATATAGGTGAGCATTCTACAGTCACGGGATTTTCCTTTAACCCGGTTGGAAAGGAATTATATAATAATCCAAACCAACCAACGCAAGCTTACTAAATACTATAAATCACAACCTAACAGCATGACTAAGAAAAGAGAACCCACAGTACCCAAACTGGATTAACACCAGCTTAGAACTGGATAAATTATTCTTTTAAAGATTAATTTTAACTCTGAACACAAAAAAAAAAAACACCAAAAAGTCGGAAGACAAACCCAAAACAAACAATTTGAAGAAAATCTACGAAAGTCTTTTCACATTTTTTTTTGTTTTCTCTGCAATTAGTTCAGATAAAGGATTCACCTCTGTGTTTACAACCTCGCTAACATTTTAAACAAGTTCAGTATATGGGCTCAAATTAGCTCCATGGGAAGCTAATGAGCGTGATTTTCTTTTTATACCGCCAAAAATTAACTTGGTCATATAAGAGTGACTTGATCAAGCACAAAAAAAGGATGAAATTTTATGAAATTTTTCACGCTGATGATCGGATTCAGTCACTAAAAAAATGTTCCCGATAATATTTTGGAAAAAATACTGGTCTAATTCATGCACAGGACTCCCATTAGCAGCTAAGTTGTGTGTATTTTGTGTGCTAAGTTGTGTGAGAAACTTCTGTTTCTCATTTTCTCTGATATAAGCTCTCAAGAAGTTTTAGTGAATAGTGATTATGTCTTAAGAACAGACTTGACCGTTTCTTGACGCCGGACCATGATACTCTGTTACTTCTGTTACATATCAATTTTCAGCGGTCTACAGAGTAAACAGTTCTCCCAGTTATCAATTTCTGACGGCGGCGTTAAAGTGTAATTCAAGCTCGTCTGCTTCCCAAAGAACTAATTTGATTCCATATGTTCAAATTCCTTAAACTGTTTGCCAGGTTGTTTCCAGTGTATCAACATCTACGTGGAAATGATTTTTTTCACAACTATTATAGTTTTTCCACTGACTTTTTTAAATTTGGAAAATATTTTCTGCGTGTGAAATCGAAAACAGTACTATTTCTAAACATTTTTATAAGAAAAACGCTTATATTGGTTACGAGTGATTCGAAAGATTCCAACTGTCAAAATTGTTAAATTGAAATGGATTATATTGTTATTATTTAATAAAGCATTAAAATCCATTGCAAATCAATTTATATTCTGTTTGATAGATCGAGACAATGCAATTCCATTATACTCAATTTTTTCCACTTCAGTGAGATGCGAACTTCAACCCACATAAAGTGTTTTCTACAACAAACATTTTTTTTGTTTTCAACGAGCAACTGAACGAAATTTTTTTCACATTTTTTTGCGTTTTCTCTGCAACTAGTTCAAATAAAGACTTCACCTGCTGTGAATACAACCTCAATAACATTTTAAAGAACTTGAATGTCGTAGACATTTTAAAGAGCTTGAATATATGGGCTCAAATTAGCTCCATGGGAAGCTAATGAGCGTGATTTTCTTTTTATACCGCCAAAAATTAACTTGGTCATATAAGAGTGACTTGATCAAGCACAAGAAAAAGGATGAAGTTTTAGGAAAATTTTCACGCTGATGATCGGATTCAGTCAT